GGTCCGGAAGACCATCCAGAAGTGTCCGGTGTCCGGGTCCTGGGTTACCATGATTTTTAGAGACCCATTAGTTGTAGGCTAGGTCTAGGTGGGTACCAGTCCAACCAGTCTGAGTCTAGGGCTTGTACGGGCAATATCAGAGTCTGCAATGATGTTTCCCTCCGAAAGGGTGGAGGTACCGGTTGCTTGGAGGCCGCGCGGCCTAGGAAGTCTCTGCCCAAGAGGCAAGTAGGCCGCTATATCTCCAGGAGGAGCAAAGTGCTCCTCCTCATTCTTCGGTGTGCAAGTTTGACGACACACTGCTTGGAGCGTTGGCTGGAGTAGCGCTGGGCATTTCAGCGCTGCTAGGAGGAAGGAGACCGGGAGCTCCCACCCCGGCTATGGTGGAGCTCTACCGGTAGGAGGAGGAAGATGAGGTCTGAGGAGGAGAGTGGCTTGGTACCGACCTGGCTATGGTTGGCACCATCTTCATTACCTTGTTAGCCGCTGCATCTGGAAGGCCCCAGTTGGGGTTGCACCACATCAAGAACGCTTCAAGGCCAGGTCAGGCAGGCGGCCTGAACAGCAGCGGGAATAGCTGATTTGTGTTGTCCTTTGCACAGCACGGCGAGGCCCTAGTAGTCAGCCATAGCCTTGGCCTACATGAAGAGGAGGAGGGGTGGCCATGGCTATGGTGGACCTCATGTTGTGCCTGCAGTAGAAAAGGGAGTCAGACGTTGATTCTGGTTCAGCCATTCAACATAATTATTATTATTTAATTTTTGAATGCAAGGGGAGGAGAAAAGGAGGAGAAGAGTGGTTGGCGAAGAAGACGGGAATTATCATTGGTCTTTGCTGGTGTACATCTTTCTTCTTCTTCTTTCCCTTGCTCTCAAGTTCATTCATTTCTTTTTGCAGTTGGATAGCATTCTGCATTCTGAAACGGTTTCACCTAGTTCGCGCGAGAGTGCAGATCCCAGGGCTCGATCCCTAGATCTAACCCAAACCCCTGTTCAGCTACCAAATGACCCGTGTGCCTTGAACCCGTGACCTGTTTCCTAAAACGTAAGTTTAGGGTTCATGCGTACAGGCGAGGTCGCGTGGACTTGACCCGTAGACCTTAGAATTAGTAGTTGGGGGTCAGTCCTGTAGGTTAGCCCTCAGCGTAGCGAAAGGGCAGTCAAACGCAGTCTAGGAAATTCTAGAAGCCGCTACCTGGCTCTTCGGTGTCCGTAGCTGAGTCAGCAAGGGTCAGTCTAGTCCTAGTCCAGTCAGCAGTCTCAGTCCCAGTCCACCTTATCCAGTCAGCAAGTACCAGGTGGGGCCGCACATCAATTGGGCCTGGGACCGAAGGCAGGCCAGACCACCTGCGAAACAGTATTAATAAAGAGGCAGCGCCCAGCCATTCATTGATTGGCCTGCGAGCCATGCGGAAGCACTGATAAAGTGACGTGTGTGTTGGAGGTCTGCAGGAGCCCAAAGGAGAAGTGGGCAGCGGCCATAGACGCTAGAGGAGGAGGAAGACAACGGCGGCCATAGCCGCCAGCTTGTTGATGACAACAGTAGTGTGTTTTAGATTTTCCCCACAACAGCCCCAATTCCACCCAGGTGAATAGATTCAGAATCAAAGCAGTCTTTGGGCCTCGTTCGACACCACTCGAAACTCAAGTATTTTTGGTCAAGCATCGTTCCACAACACCCTAATGACGACGATTTTGGAGATGGAAATGTTTTCACATTTGCCATCTCAAGGGTCCGTGTTACATACTTCAATGAGTATGGGCAGAACCAAAGATCAACCAATATAGGATGAGCATTTATGCAGCGGAAGTCTGATAACGAACTGACTCACATAGACTGACTCACATAGACTGACCTACATGGCATCACTCCACACACATACAATCATGAGATGGTGGGGTCTGGGTCATGCATAGACGCTACCCAGATCCCGTACACACATGCACAGATGAAAGGTGGGAGGAGAGACGAAGGAGGTAGGAGGTAGATCACACCGATAGGTCACAAGATAGAGTSTGATAGGTCTCCGAAATGGTAGTCCAGAATGTCATATAACAAGATCAAAATGTCGAGGACCAAAGGTCACCAATGTCGGAGATAACCGAGTCCAGATGTAACCAGTGTCCAACTGTGATGCAGCCGAGTATCGACCTCAACAATCTCCAAGTCTCCAATCAGGTAAGTACCACAGTCTCGTATCACCGAAGTCCAACTCTGATCTCTGTCCAACTGGATAGTCTCCAATCTGAAGAAGAAGGAGAAGAAGAAGAAGAAGAAGAAGAAGAAGAAGAAGAAGAAGAAGAAGAAGAAGGAGGAGGAGGAAGAGGAGAGAGAGAGAGAGGGGACTGGCGAGGGAGAGGAGGAGAGACCCTCCAAGCTCCCGGTACCTCAGGCGGCAATGGCCCCCGTGCTGGCTCAGTCGCCCTGCTGCTGCGCCGCTCGCTGCTGCGCTAAGCTGCGCTATGCTGCGCTCCTGCTTCAGCCCCTGCGCTAAGTTTAGCGCATCAAAACAGTACACTGGTACTGACCATGCCGTGCCGGTAGATTCCGGTAGGCCGATCCCGCAACTGAGGCGGATACCGGTACTTATACCGGTAGGCAATGGTCTGGCCTCAATGCTGCGAGGCCAGGCCAGACCCTGGACCGTCCAGATGGACGGTTCAGCCTCAATCGGCGGGCGGCAGMTTCAAGAGCGCCGCCAGGCCCAAACGAAGTGTCGTTTGGGCCTACCCGATGGGTGCTGGTCCAAAATCAGGCCTTTAGGGCCTGTAACCCCAAAAGGTCGGACCTTTAGGCCCTGGTGTGTCCCTCCGGCCCTAAGTCGGGTCCGGTAGGACCCGTGTGAGTCGAAGATGTAACAGTCCGCCCTTGAAACTCAAGTGCGCCCCAGCCAAAATGAAAAAAAACTCAAGGGCGCCTCGGGAGGTCACTTGAAACTCAAGGGTTCCGTCCTTCACCGACGCGCAATACACGGAATTTTTTCATTTCTTGTGTAATTTTCCCCAAAAATGGACTGCACCTGGTTCAATGGAGGTTGTCCGTCCTGCATGTTGGGACAGTGGCACCGGGGACACTACGAACGGGCACCAGGTAACGCATTTGCGTACCGTTGGGCCAGTCTCGGGTACCGTTGGTTGGCGCGGCCGTGGTGGGGGAGGGGGGGTGGGTGGTGTTGTTGAAGGCGGTGATTGTGGCCGTTAGGAGGATTTCGATTTGAAACCTCCGAGCGACCCGATGCGTGGCCGGACAGTGGTCCATTCGTCGTGAGAGTGTGGGGTCGACCGTGCAACGGTCACCTGGCTGCTGAGTGCCCTGCTGCTGCGGGTTATGATAGGTGGGGCAACACCCGTGACGGAAGCGAATGTCCATTGCGGCCGAAGCAGCGTGTGGCTTGTGAAGTACGGCACAGCCGTCCTGTTGTTTTCGTGCCATTTTCATACCGGACAAAAGCGCATGGCTGATCTGGGGAGGAAGACATGTCTGCTGGCATTCATTCTTGTGGCGTCGCTGCTGGTCGTTCTCTTTCATCTGTGGCAGTTGGCGAGGCAGAGGATAGTGTTTGGGCCAAAAAAGGGCACGAAAAACCTTTGGAGGAGGAGTCCTTTGAGGAAGGCGATGGGCGATCATCTGTCGGGGGTGGGGTATCAATGCAGCATGTGCAGGGGGGGGTACGGCGAGGCGTCGAGAACAGATGGACATCAGCCGGGGGTGGGGTTTGAGTACGGAATGGACAGGAGGGGGTATGGCGAGTCGCGCAGATCGGATGGATACCCCATCGATCCCGCGGCGTACACCCATCTCCCTTCGTATATGCGGCCGTTGCCGGGCGACACAAATTGGGAGCCGCCTCCATCCACCCTCCCTCTTGCGTGGGGGTCGACGCAGACATCATACGACAGTGGAGACAGGGTGGGTGAGCGAAGCGGCTCCCGTGGCCCCATGTCCGCTCTCCTGGCTGGGGAGGGTGACGAAACGGCCCCCCCGCTGGGGCTTCGTGTGTCGAAAAGCTGCGAAATGGAGGGTTCCAGAACCGTTCTCGTCGACCACAGGACGCATAGCCATGGTCAAATTTCCTTGACGATGAGGGACGCCGGTGAGGACAGCGCGTGCAGGTCAGTGCAAGGACGGCGGTACAGTACTGCGACGAGTGTCTGTGCACCGCCGACGGCTTCTGCAGGTGGGCGGGGAGGGGGGTCGTCGCCAACACCTCCATCCCCCCGAGTTGTGGAGAGGATAGTGGCGACGTTCAAGAGACTGCCAACCGGCACCGGCCGCGAAGGTGGCGGGCATGGCGGTGATGGTTCCGACGTGAACGCCAATGGTGATTGCATTGGAGACGACGAAGGGGGTAGCGACGAAGACGAGGAGATAGATGTGAGAGAGGTTACTCTGCAGAAAGAAGCCATCGAAAAGTTGTGTGTCGAAAGGCAAAGAAAAGGCCGTCGATGGTAACGGGACCCATGCGAATTGGGATTTGAACGAGATCGTGAGGTTCCTCCAAGTCCCACCGGTCTTTCGTTTCACCCACCACCGCGGAGTCTCCCTGGGAAGCACACCTGCGACGATCGCGTTCGTCAAAAGGAATGGTGCGTCCCAAACACCCGGGGAGGATTGCACGTCCATCATCACTTGGGCGATGGCCGCTTCCCTTCTCCCTCTCCGCCGACCCATGCCACGCTGTATGCTGTTCACCGCCTGCAAATGTCGGCCTACCGCCAGCAAAGCCGTCGCCAAGAGTGACCTCTCCGCGGCAGATTCCTCGACCGGCCGAGCGAAGGATAGACAACAACCAAGCGACCCGATGCGTGGCGACGACAGTTCTCTCGATGGTGATCCTGCGAAGGTGGCGGCGGCAAGCCTCTCTACCACAACCGCGACTCTGAAATCCGCAGGGCACTGGCAGACAGTGGGAACACAGCGTGTGGGTAGACGGCGGAGGGACCTCCTACACGTTTGAAATTCGAATTTGAAAAACAACGCACGCGCCTTGTTCTCCGCAGGGGGATTCCGGGTCGGCTTTCGAAGGGGTCCCACCGGCCGCATTTGAATACAACACGGCCTGCAGTCCCAAACCACTGTACCGGGCGGACAAATATATGTGCGTTGGTGACTTCTGCTTGAACATCCGAGCAGCGTCCCCCGAGTCTGTCAGACACCACGCAGGCACTCAGTTTCAAGGGCGGCCGTTTCAAGTATTTTTCAAGGGCGTTGTGGAATGAGAAAAACAGTTAGGGGGAAATTAATCTAAAGTTCCGTGTTAGGGTGCCCTTGAAACTCAAGTATTTTCGAGTGGTGTCGAAGGAGGCCCTTTGTCCTATTGCAGACAACGAGAGCATTTGAGATGTCCAACATATTAAAGGAATTTTATAATTAGACAGTTTTTTGGTTGTCTTTGGGGTAACCCCTTCATTTTTCTTGTAGCTCCCCTTTTACTGTGCCTCTTACGCACAAGGCTGCCCACGTCGATTGTGGTGGAGCAGCATCTGCCCACATCCCCGTGTGCCTTCACGGCCCACTTGCACATTATTTCAGGAGGCAGAGTAAAAGGGAAGGCATGCTCCTGTGCATCTCTTCAGAGCTTCATACTTCTGTTCATTTCACTGCAGATCTTCACCTTATACAGTCTTTGTGTCCGTCCTTCATCTTCATACTTCCGTTCATTTCATTTCTGATCTTCATATCGTCTATTCTCTTAATGATGCTCATTCGCATGTATTTGTTAGTAGTACAAAGGGAGTGGGGGGAGAGTGGAGGGTAAGGGATAGAAGGCAGAGTTCTCTAGGAGTATGGGGCAGGGGAGGTAGGGGCAATGGGAAGGAAAGAAAATTAAGAAATATGTGGAGGGCAGAATAGAGTATGACATGCAAGGAGCAGGGGAAAGGTGTATGACGGGTTTCACAGATTTCTAAATATTCACCGCTGAAGCAGACTATTCTAGCAAAAAAAAAAAAAAAAAAAAACTAACTATGGCGAGTGGCCACCCCTACAGACCGGACAGGACCGATTCGGGTGTGGGCTATGGAAGCACCGCATCCAATTTCACAGTCACAGTTGCTGCATCGAATGGCACAGCGCAGACAGATGTCACAGGCTACGTGGCTCGTACATGCTAGGAACACAGAGGCACGTCGACCGCAATTATAGCGGCATTGCCGTTCCAGCCCGTCTACAATTGGACATGACATGTCGGGGTGTCGTACATGAGTACAGTACTGACTGTCATCATACGTATAGAAGCAAAACTCGCATGGACTATACCTTCATAATCGTCACGGCACAAGGCATGTGAACCACATGCTAGTTGAATCTCCGGCAGGTCATCACAAAACGGCATGGAGCATCTTTCTTGGGCTTCCTCATTACGTATTCCCTCTCTATGGAGACGACGACAGGGAGGATCGGTCCAACACAAGGGCATTCAGCTGCTGCAGGATATGATCCGCAACATCTCGCCCTGGTGGTGATAAACTATGAGCACATCGCTCTGCCGGTGGTTCATATAGAAGTCTATTTTCCTCCTCGGACTGCTGTGTTCGCCGTTCGTCTGGCAAGAAAGAGGGAGATCCGTCAGCGGTTGCTGTAGGTATATGACCGATACCGCATGTGGGACATGCTAGGAGAGGATGTGGAGAGTGATCGTACGGGGATAGTCCACACAGTAAGGACACATACTTTCTATGACAGCTTCCTGGAAGCATTGACGACACATGGCATGTTGCTGACATGTCATTAGTATGGAAGGCTGACGTGCACAGTTGTTTAAGCATGGCAGATCAAGGCCACAACGGCATGCTGGGCAAGTAATCAGGGGGTGGGGAGGATGAGCACAGGACTGGGGATCACAATTTTCGTGTGAGAGGCTAGCAGCAACCATCCCTTCATAGTGTTCGGAGCAAAGGCTATGTCGTGTACATGCCAACCGAACTGCACCTGTGCGACGACACAACGGGAGGGCACAGCCCTCATCCTGTGGAGAGGTCCTTTCACTATTTGTGGTAGAATCAGCCGGATTGCTCTCCGGGGGGTGCAGTGTTTGCAAATGCTCATCGACATACTGTTCCTGATGGATGAGCCAGACTGAGTGACCCTCCAGCATTTGGCGATAGAAAGAGTTAATATTTCCCACTGTGCGCACCCTACCGCGATTGTCCCATAGGGTCCATGAATTATCTGCAAAGGTAAGATCACTGAAGTGACCTGGACGATATAAGATATATGCCCGAATATTTGGATTCGTGCCTGGCTCATGGTTTTGCGGAGCAGGCTGGAATTGCAGTCGCCTACCCATAAATGCCATAGCCAGGACTTCTATGTTCACCCGAGGCGCAGCGCTGTCGTCCTCTTGGCAGACGGCACGGTGCTCTTCTTCTATCCAGCGAACAACGTCTGCAAAATCAGCAACAGTATAAGGATTACAATTGTAAGCAAGGAGTCATACATTAATGGCATAGTACGCACAGCGCCCTCGCTGTAGCGCTATGACATTGTCTGATTCCGCAGGTTGCGCGGGGGATCCTCATTCGATTCTGCAGGTTGCCCAGGTGGCGGAGACTCGATGTGGTCTTGACCAATTGGCTTTGGTATGTGCTCCGGAGAGAGGCGATCTTCAACCGGGGCCTCCGTCGGGTAATCAGGAGACGGGTCATTGCCATTTGGGGCAGGGGAGCGAGTGGGCTAGGTGGATGAGAGAGGGACGGGTCAGGTGGGTTAGAACTGGGTAGACCAGATGTCGGAGTCGGAAGCTGATCAGCCTCACTTGTGCTCAGGGCGGCTGCTAGTCATGCAAACGCTGCACAAGTAGCTGCACCTCGTATCTGGTGCACTCGTAAGCCTACAGCACTAAAGAAATCATCGCCACATTAGGGCATCGGACTCGATGTGCACTATTCCTCGCTAGTATATATTGAAAGCGACGATGTCGTTCCGTACGGTTGCGCGCATGTCGTCGGAGCAGATCTCTAACCCCTGCAGGGGGCGCGGTGATCATGCCATTCAACGACAAATGAGGCTGCTGTCTTGGAGGCTGTTGTTGAGACGGGGAACGTCTCCGCCGAAGAGGCATCTATAACGATCAATCTCACAATGGATACCTTGGCCGATAGGGCCTTTGTGATGGTCGATCTGACCATGAGTGCGTTGATGATGAGGTCGATGATGAGGAAGTAGAGGAAGCAGTAGGGGAAGAGGAAGAAGAATTTGATGCAGATGATTGAGAGGATGCTGCAACAGAGGACATCGGTGGGGGTGGCGGTCATGATGGTGGCGGTGGCAGCAGTGACAAAGGAGGAGGTATACCTTCAGCAGCGACAACAACAGTCATTGTATTGGTAGGATGCTGGCCTTCATCCCTTACTGCCATTTCGGTAAAGTTCACATTGTTTATTGCGGCTGGCATGATCTCTAGCTGAGTTGGTGTATCGACATTAGCGTATGCCATTTCAGCACGGATAACAGGGGGGGTGCGCGGTCTGCGTGTGATTGTGCAGCGGGGTGATACTGGCTGCGGTCAACATTGGTGTCAGGCGATGAGTGGTTGTAGCGGTACCCCTACGGCCCGGCAGTGAGGCCGGACCATTTCAGGCCGTCGGCCTGACCCTGGCCCGATACCAAGTTGATTCCCGTACCTGGACCTAGGCCGGTATATCACTTCGGCCTAGGTCCAGGTCCGGAGGTTGGTTCATTCATTCTTCATTCGTTCATTCATTCGGACTGGACCTTCACTCAGTTGCTGCTTCTTGTGTGTCCACCTCCTCTCTCTCTCTCTCTCTCTCTCTCTCTCTCTCTCTCTCTCTCTCTCTCTCTCTCTCTCTCTCTCTCTCTCTCTCTCCCCTCTCACCATCTTCACACGTGCCATCTGCACGTGTGTCACATTGGTATCGGAGTGGAGTCTCGACCTCTGCTCCCACCCTCCC